AGAATAAAGCGCTCCTTTACAATTTGGCCGTGCATCTCTGGTTATCTCGCTGACACATTATAACACTTTTACCTCTGTGATTTCCAAATAAATTTTCTCTTAGCTCTGAATTTTTTCCTAGCCAGAATTCAAGTACCTAGTTTGCTGAACCCAGGTGCAGTCTGACTCCAGGGGTCAGGTGCCTTTCCAGCCTCCTACAAGTCATTGTGGAACAATACTGAAGTTACCCACTTAATCATGGTGAGAATTAAAGACTTTTCAGGAAAACACAGAAAGTTAAGTAGTTGTAAGCAAATTTTAGCTCTTTTAGAATAAGAAGACTCAGCTTACTGAAGCAATTATAGATCTGAGGAGAGAGGAAATTATCTTAATAAAACATAAAAATTTTACTTGCTTTTTATAATTTCTGATTAAGAGTATACCCAGTAGGAACCATAAATACCTGGTTCCAGGGGACACTGGTCCATGAAACCAGGACACTTTAGATCCCATTCAAAGATGTCAGATGTGTTAACCTAAAAAGAAAAACCCTTTCAAAGTCAGAGGCAACAAGCATTTACATGAGATTTAAAAAAAAAAAAAAAAAAAAAAAAAAACCACCCAGGAGGAAAAGAAGAGTGATTCAGAAAGCACTGATTCAGGCAGAAACCCAAATGGTGTTCCCATCAGGAGACAAAGGCAATGGGTATTTATGAGAAAGCGAAGGGGAACCATTACATCAATAGAAGGAAGCATTTTTTTCTATTGGTGCTGATAAGCTAACGTAAGTGGTGCTAATTATTCTAAACATTTTAAATTTTATTTCAGTCCAGTAGCCACCAGTCCTGGAGTCATTCTATCTGCTTTCTTATCTTTGCAAACAGTTCTTTGGGACATAATGTTGGTTTAGGCCCAGTCCAAATGTTATTTTGCCCTGTTTTAACACTTCAAAGGTTTGAGGCACAAGACATGCAAAGCATTTCCCCTGGGATGGCAGTTCCAGCTCCATTTTTTATTTTTATTTTTATTTTTTGTTTTATTTCTTTCTTTCTTTCTTTTTTTTTTTAATCCTCACCTGAGGACCTTTTTCCATTTCTTGTTCAGATAGAGTGGGAGGGGGAGAGAGAGAGAGAGAGAGAGAGAGAGAAACATCGACGTGAAAGGGACACATCGAGTGGTTGCCACCCGCACGACCGACCAGGGCCGGAGACAAACTGCAACCGAGGTACGCGCCCTTAGCGGGAACCGAACCCAGGTCTCTCTGGACTGCAGGCCGACGCTCTAACCGCTGAGCCAAACCGGCCAGGGCCCAGCTCCATTTTTAAGTGGCTCTGCTTACAATCCTTTTTACAGTAAGGAGCACGCGTGGGGCTTGTATACTTTAAATTTAAATCCAAATTCATGGAACCCATTGCTAAGTTAAAGATATGCTCCCATCACTTGCCTGAAGACTGCCTTTCTCAATTCCCCTCTTCACAGCGCTTATGCTCTCTACCCCGGGGTGTCTGGAGAGCAGGAGCAGCAGCCAACTCTGGCTGAGATAGCCCTGCAGCTAGGGGCGCCCTGGGGAGCCATCACCAAGTTCTGGTTGAGGTTACCAGGGACAGGGCGTCCCAGGGGTGCCCGGGTGGGCCGCTGCCGGGAACGTGGGGCATGGTGACTCAAAGGTGCGGGGCTACCAGGGCTGCCCAGGGGCCCGGCTGCTGGGGCTGCAGGGGTCTCGGGGCCAGGTGGCCTAGGTGTGTGGCTCCAGGGGGCTTACTTGGGGCCCTGGTGAATGCGAGGGCAGCAGGTGCTCCCTGAGTTGGTCTGGGGTGCAAGGCTCCGGGGGCCGCCTGGGGGACAGGCAGGCCGGGGCTGCAGCTAATGCAGGCTGCCCTGGGGCGGCAGTGGGCCTTGGCGGAGTTGGCCCGGGTGGCTGGGAGCATGGGGTGCCCAGGTGGGCCAGCTGGCCTGGGCTGCAGCAGGTGCAGAGCAAGGCGGCCTAAGATGGGAGACTGACGGGGTGTCCTGGGAGGCCTGCTCCCCAGGGTTGCGGCTAAAGCGTGGCGAGGTGGCCCGGGGTCCGCTGTGGAGGCCTCCCAGAGTGGCTGGAGCACTACCTAGCTGGAGGAGGAATGTCAACAATGGCGTTTGCCAGCCCCTCAGATCCAAGTGAGTTCCTGCAAGTTCCCTACACATTTATTTGGCAGGTGCCTTGGGGTTAGTAAACGGATTGTATTCATCATTCATAGACAGCCTAGTTGCCCTACGCATCGCTGTTTTATCACCGTGCCCATAGCAGGCGAGTCTGCCCTCCCCAGCCCCGCAGTGATATCCCTCCGCAGCGCAGGTCTCCCCACTGGGGTGAGGTTTCCGTGGTCACCTCATCTCAGCCTCCCCTCCCCTTCTCTATGTGGTCTCTCTCTCTCTCTCCTCTCTCCTCTCTCTCTCTCTCCTCTCTCTCTCTCTCTCTCTCTCTCTCTCTCTCTCTCTCTCTCTCTCTCTCTCGTTTGCCGTTTAGGAGGACTGGCTCCGTGTGTAGGCGTATATTGCCTGCTTCCTACCCTACCACCTCCGAGGACACCAAGACACAATTTTCAATTCAAGTGTGGAAGTAGTGGTTCCTTTAACCTTCAGCCAACCCCGCAGTCATCTGGATCACCTGTGTTTTCTCTCGCAGCACAGCACTGACTCCATCGTGTAGGTGTTGCCAGTTGTGTGGCACTCTCCCCTAGACCCCGGGCTCCTTGAGAGTAGGGACCATAATCTTTGCCATGATGTGCAACTCCTCGTGCCTGGCAGAGTGTCTGGCACAAGTGGGCACTCCAGTATTTGCTGAATGAGTAATCACTACTGCTTCTACTCAAATTGATTGAGGAGGCTCAGCCATACTGAGTGACCGAATACTCACTCTCCTAATCTCATATGTTGGTCTATAATGTGGTGTAAAATGCCCCTCCACATTAAAACAAGAAAAGCACTACGACTCTGCTGTTGATGATCCAATTTCCTTAATTCGTAAAATGAGGTTTTAAAGACTCCTGTTGGCTTCCCACTTATTGTTCGCCCACTCCCCCCGAACCCAACCCCTGCCTCCCTCCCACCAACCCCACCATATGTTCAAATGAAAACCAGGAGAGGGAAGTCGGAGCTTCTCTAAGGGGAAAAAGCCAGAGGTGGGCTAAACCTCACTTGCCCAGCCTTCCAGGAAATCCTCCCCAGGCCCCAGCGATGGACTCAACCAGGAAGCACGGATAGAGACTATGGACTGGATGTTGCTCTTCAGCTCCAGGGGTAGCACAACAAAGATTACACCTGAATCCATGGCCGTCTTGTTTCTTCAGTTTCCCCCCTAGCTTTGTTGAGATATAATGGACACTTAACGTTGTATAAAAGTAAGACGTGTGATGTGCTGATTTGAGGCATGTATTTACTGTGAAATGTTTACCAAGGGTAATGAACACATCCTACACCTCACATGATTGCCAATGTGTTGTTGAATGTTGAGAACCCCAAAGCTGTATTCTCATAGCAACTCTCAAGTGTACCAAAGAGTACCTTTAACCAAATCACCATGCTGTAGATCCGGTCCCGCGACTTAAAGCCTCACCGGAGGCTCTTTTTGCATTTATCTTCGGATAGAGTGGGGGTGGGGAGAGAAACATCGATGTGAGAGGGACACATCTACTGGTTGCCTGGATGGGCTGCCTCCCGCAGGACCCCGACCAGGGCCAGGGACGAACCACACCAGAGGTATGTGCCCTTGACTGGAATCTTTGGTCCGCAGGCCTACACTCTTAACCACTGAGCCAAACCAGCCAAGGCCGGAACGTAATCCTTTGATAGCTGAAAGTGTGTCCCTTTTGACCAACATCTCCCCGTTTCCCCCACCCTGTAGCCCCTCATGTCCACTTTCTTCTGCATATTTAAATGGTATTAGATCAAGTCCATGGAAAGAAAAAGAAAAACACAAAAACAAACACACCACCGAGGAGGCAAATTCTCTTTCCAGAGAGCCAAGTCTTCTTGCCTGCCGTGATGTTTTGCTCAGTTTCTCTGTGTTTTGCTTCAGAGCGTACCCAAGCATTAAGTGTGGGTAGGGGGGCCCACCCTCCAGGCTTATTGCTCAAATGCAGGGTGGGAAGGGGGTGGGTTGGGGTGGTGAAAAAGAAAGCGATGGAGCCCTGGCCAGTTTGGCTCAGCGGTTAGAGCATCGGCCTGCGGTCCGGAGAGACCCGGGTTCGGTTCCCGCTAAGGGCACGTACTTCGGTTGCAGTTTGTCCCCGGCCCTGGTTGGTCGTGCGGGTGGCAGCCACTCGATGTGTCCTCGATGTTTCTCTCTCTCTCCCTTCCTCTCTCTTCCTCCCATTCTCTGTACAAAAAATGGAAAAATATCCTCGGGTGAGGATAAAAAAAAAAAAGAAAGAAAGAAAAAGAAAGCGATGGAGACACTTCTGCCCCATTAGAATATCCCGAGAAGCTCATCCCATAAGTCTTAAGTTTGTGACTTCTAAAAAGAACAGCAGGTATGACGTTTGCTAAAACTGGTTGCGGTCAAAGGACCTGCCAGGCTGCAAAACGAAAATCAGACAACAGTGATGACAGAGAAAATCAACATGATGATTTATTGAGGAAATGACCACTCAGGTGAGCAACATCACACGATGTCAAGTAATCTGTAGCATCAGATCATCTTTGGTTTTGCCTTAGAGATTACAGTTCTAAAGTGGTCCCACTACTTCACCTGGGGATGCAGAATCATCCTGTGGCCCCCGTCAGATAGTTTGAAAGAATGGAGACAGAGGCATGTGTGTGTGTGTAGGGAAACTACCAAGGCAGGTGGTGAGAGAGAGTTTAGAAATAGAGAGATCTTGTCGTCTATCCTCAAACCTTGGGGAAGGGGTATGCATTTTTCTCAGGGCATAAAATCTAACAGTCAGCATGGATGTTTGGGCTGTGCAGCACCGAAGGGCACCATCTCCTCAAGGGGACAACACCTGCAATGCAGGCCAGCGAGTCCCCGGGAGGGAGCCTGACTGTCACTGGGCCTGAGCAGCAGAGGAGGCATCTGCACCTGCAGCCTCGGCATCCTCCTCTGAGGCGCTGCTCTTCTTGGCAGCGCCAGCGGGTTTGGCAGCAGGGCCCTTCCGGGTCGCGCCCTCTCCTCCTTCGGGCTTCTGGCCCTGGGCGCCAGGCGGCTGCTGCGGGAGGCGGCACGGGCTGCTGGGGCGCTGGCATTCGTGGCACGGCGGGGGCTTCTCCAGCAGGCCTCCGGCCTCGCTGCCGCCCTCCTTGTTTTCGGCCTCCGGCTGCTCCGGGGGCTGCGGAACAGGGACGAGGCCCCGGCCCCTGGGGCGGCTGCGCCGGTAGCTCAGGCCGGGCCCCCGGCGTGGCGGCGGCGGCGAGCCCTCGGGCCTGGCGTCTGGGGCGGCCGCAGGCTGCTGGGCGGCGGCCCGCGCGCCGCAGGCGGCGGCGGGAGCGCAGACGGCCGGGTGGCGGGCGGCGGGCGGGGCCCTGCGGAAGGGCGGGAAGCGCCACAGCCCCTGGTCTTGGGGGCGGCTGGGCAGGCAGCGCCTCTGGCCGCGGGCGACGGCGAAGTCTTCTCTGCTCGGTTCGGGGTCCTCGACGTCCCACTGGGCGGCCCAGGCCCCGCGGTGCTGCGGCTCGTGATGGCGGAAGTAGAAGCCACGGCGGTGGAAGCCACGGCGGAAGCGGGGCCGGTTGGCCGCGAAGCGGCTGCCCTGCACTGGGGCGCCGGCTGGCCCGGTCACGTTCGCAGCCTCGGTGCCCTGCCTGCCCTGCACCACGTCGAACTCGACAGCCTCGCCGTTGCCCAGACTGCGTAGGTACTTGTGGGGGTTGTTGCGGGTGATGGCCGTCTGGTGGACGAACACGTCTTCCTGGGTGTCGTGCCTGCTGATGAAACCGTACCCGTACCTCACATTGAACCACTTGACGGATCCACTCACCTTCTTGGCGATGACCTTCTTGGGCGCCTTGCCCTTGGCGCCCGCGGCCGCGCTGCTGGCCTGGGGGGCCGAGTCTGCGGCCAGGCTGCTGGTCCCTGGGGCCTGGGGCGAATCTCCGCCTCCCAGGGATGACAGGTCTTCCTGGGCCGCCCGGCGGGACACTGCGCTGGCCACCTCCGGGAGGGTGGCCTTCCCCGGGAGGGTGGCCTTCCCTGCCTCACTCATGAGGCCTTCCCTTCTAGCCTCTCGCCTGCCAGAGGAGTCTGGGGGAATCTGCCCCCGGGGAGTGGGTGGGGCGGGGTAGGGGGTTCTGCAGGCCTGAGCCTGGCTCTGGGAGGGTCTCCGGTCAGGGCCCAGAGCTCTCTGGCTTAGCTCTGAGACTCTTGGGAGAGGTCTGTGGCGTCTCCTGGGAAACAGGACGCGAAGGGAACAGTGGCAGCTGCAGGGGTGACGTGTCAATGGGGGGAATCCTGGACCGGGCTCCATCCGGAGGGCGGGGCACGTGAGCTCTGCCACGCGCTCGGGCTCGGGGCGGGCGCCTAGTCACAGCCCTTCTTGGTCCCCAGTAGAGAAGGGGCACAGGAAGCTCTAGGCAGTGGTCTTCTGGCTGACCCTCTTGCTTGCTTGAGTGGGTGTGAAGAGAGGACCCCCTTTACGTCCCTCTCCCTGGGTGGGGGACACCCACAGCCTTCTGAGGGCACCCTCGAAGAACTCTCTTGCAAAACCCTGGTCCTCTTCCAAGCCCTTGTGTGCCCGCTCGCTGAGTGGGGCAATTGGTGTCACTGGACACAGAATGACAACCGCATGAGATCAAGACCCAATCGGAGAAGCCCAGTGTTTTTACTTGTTTGCTTTTTGATTGTTATTTTCTTGCAGACAGGCGGAGGAAACCTGCCAGGGCTAGAAGGCTAGGACTGAGAGGACCTTCGCCTGCTGCAGGCTCATCTAGAGGAATGTTAGATTTGTGAACCAGCGAGTCTGAGCCGGGGCACTTTTGCAGCTAGACTACTGGGAGAACCCTGTTGAACTCGGTGTTCTCGCCGACACTGAGCAAATGGCCACACAGACTCAAACAGAGCTGGGGCAATTCTCCCTTGTGTTTAACCGCAGATACAAACTTGTTGTTTATTTGTTTATGCATTTATCTTTATTGATTTGGTGGAGAGGGAGAGACAGAGAGGGGAGAGAGAGAGAGAGAGAGAGAGAGAGAGAGAGAGAGAGAGGAGAGAGAGAGAGAGGAGAGAGAGAGAGAGGGAGAAGAGAGAGAAACATCCACCAGAGAGGACACCCATCGGCCTCCTCCCACGTGCCCCTCACTGGGCATCGGGCCCACAACCTGGGCATGTGCCCTGACCAGGATCGAACCGCAGACCTCTTGGTGCGAGGGTGGACGCTCAACCACGGAGCCACACCTGCAGGGCCACATGCAAACTTTCGTATTTTGCAAATACCTCTTTGACCTTCGTCTCAGATTGGGCTTCTGATTTAGTTGTACAGAAGCCCTAAGGATTCAGTACCTTAGATGTGGGGACTTAGTGAGGCTGCCTCTGATGGAGCCCTGACCCTGCCTGAGTTCTTTGCTGCCTTTCGTCTCACTGGGGTGGCTGTCCACTGCCCCAGGGCCTCCCTCCAGCTCTGCAGCCAGAGGACCTGCAGGCACTGTCCTTGAGCCCGAGTGGGAGTGTGCTTTATTTGATTCTTAGTCTGCATCAAAGTCAGCACAGGATACCGTGTTGAGCTACAGTAGCGTTCGGAAATGTAGCCTTTCCGAAGTGAGGACAGAACAAGCTAAAATAGTAAGTGATTGTAACTGATCAGAAGACTCCGTTTCTGTTGACTAATGAGAAAAATAAGCACCGTGGGCCTACCATTCTACCGTTTACCGGAACTTCTCACATGTTGTGCGTTGGATCCTGAGAACAACCCCCTCTCTAAGCAACTGGGACAGGCACTGTTTTTACTTCGGTTTGACAGACGAGGGAACCGGGGTCCAGGGAGAGGAAGTTGCTTGCTTACGTTCATATATTTCGTATAGGGTGAACCCTTAAATTTTATCTCAGATGAATTTCACCCCAGGTCCAGGCCTCTTCCCCCCACACCTGTACAGTTCTGTCACCTGTTTCATCTGATGTCAGAGACCAGTGACCCCTCGGAGAGAAGTCATGGTCTCATACAAGCCAGCAGAGAACCAAAGAAAGACCTCTCGCATGGCTGATCTGTCTCCCTGGCAATCTGCAGGAGCACAAATTGCCTTCACAGCAATTAGTCAGCACCCCTTCCCCCCCTACACACCACACACACACACGCACACACACCACACACACACACACTAACCTGCCTGCAGCCCAATATAAAGCAAACCCTACTTACTGTACACTTAGGAACCATTTCTTCACCTTGCTGATGGAGGATACTAAATGGAAGATGGGGTCTTGATTTTTATTTCGCTGTTAAGAAAAACACTTCTTCAGGCATCATCTTTATTGTGTTCACAAGTGGGAGAGAGCAGCAGGCTACTGTCAGGATCCTCACATGACAGACAGTAAGCCAGGGCAGCAGGGTAGGGAGCAGCTAACTGACCTAACCAAGACCACCCACGTAGTAAGTGCAGAGCCAGGATAATACCTCTGGTCCTTCGGTGCCCCAGATTCCTGGTGCACTGTGCTCCTCATGGCCCCATGTGGCCACTTCTATGATGCCGTCAACAGTTCTTTATATCTATGTGTGTGTGTTTATTGATTTGAGAGAGAGAGAGAGAGAGAGGAGAGAGGGAGAGAGGGAGAGAGAGAGAGAGAGAGAGAGAGAGAGAAAGAGAGAGAGAGAGAAACATCACTGTGAGAGAGAAACTTCCATTGGCTGCCTCCTGCACACCCCCTCCTTGGGATTGAGCCCTCAGGGCATGTGCCCTGACCTGGAATTGAACCCCAAACCTTTTGGCACACCATAAGACACCCAACCACCTGAGCCACACAGGCCAGGAAAACCGTTCTGTTTTTCATGTCCCGGTAACTCTCCTTGGAGCTTCCCACATTTGCCATGCCCATGCCCATCTCGGTGCCTGTGTTCACTTTTCCTCATTCTCCTAGGAATATGTTTCCCCTCTCCTCTGTCTGCATCACGCTCACTCGCCCTTGCAGTCCCAGTTTGGCCATTCCCTCCCACCCCGTTCCAAATGCACCAGCCCACCTGCTTCTCTTCTCAGAAACAGGTGCACCTACAGCCTATGATTAATGGCTGCTCTACTTCTTTCCTATGTGCAAGGTTTTCTGTCCTACTGTCCTTCCCAACTGGATTCGAAGGCCACTAATGATTGAACATATTTTCTCTCAGTGTCCTCTCCAGGTAAGAGGGTGCCTGGAACAGTGCTGGCTGGGTAAAGGCCACCACACATGTGCGCTTGTGGATTCAACCTGTGCCTCTTCCGCCACAAAGTGGCCGCGTTCTGGAATGCCTTACACTTGCTGGCACAGTGCCAGGCACAAAGTAGCTGCTGAGATGATTCGCTGAGCGGGACTGAATATGTCCTCTGGAGTAGCCCGTTGTCATTTCCACGACAGACAGGAAAGTGCTTTGGGGCCTTCATGGAGATCAATTAAACTTTTCTGGTTTGGGTGTATTCTATGCAGCAAGAAAGGCATTGTGAGAAAAGTTAATGTGACATGAATCACTTGTTCAAGCTTATGGTTTAACGTGCTGAGCCCACTGTATTGTTTTGTTGAAATCATCAGGTTCTGTTTATCTCTTTTTCTTCATTTTGTACTTCACCCATCCTGTGAAGCACATTGTTGAATTTTTATTATTTAAGAGCTGGAGGTTAATGCAGGTTTCAGGTATACTGGCTGATCCATGCGCTTGTCATTTAAAAATAAAGTCTCTGCTGCTTGAGCCACAAAATGGGGCTGAACCCAAGACAGCAGAGTCCGTCCAGGCCCACGATGAGAGGTAATAGATAACATGATCTGAGCTGAAGAGCAAACAAGTTGGCAGCCTTACGAGAGGACGCAAATGCTTCAGCGCCTCTCTTCTTACCAACTCACTGGTGGGTCCTGTTTGAAAGGTCAGTGGGCTCAATGGAAAGAAGAACGTTATCCATTCTGCTCCTTCTAGAACCACACCATCGATTCTAGCCTCTCGTGTGTGGTGCTCACTGTCCAAGGCAACAGAAAGCTAACATGATACGGACAGAAATAAGAGAAGGGCATCTAGAAAACGGAACTGAGAATGCCTGCCCTTGCCCCACACCCTGCAAATGACACGAGGTAAAAGCCGGGGTGACTGCAGGGATACTACGGACGTCAGTAGGAGGTTTAAAGTACTGGCATTGACCAGGGCGGGGCAACCAGTGTGAGCCAGGTTGCTGGAGTCCCAGATATGTCGACTGTCTACCGTCCTAGGGCAGGGTTCACCAAAGGAACAAAGGCCTCTGACAGCACGTTTTTCTGGGAGAAAGCCCCCTCTCCAGCCCTCGCTCCAATGCCAAACAGCTCAGTTCTTCCCGCAAAAGTCTCAGGAGGCCCGGCTGGTGTGACTCAGTGGTTGAGCATCTACCCATGCACCAAGAGGTCGCAGGTGAGGGCACTGTGAGAAGGCGGCAAGCCAGAAAGAAGGCCATCACCAGAAACAAACCCTGGTGGCTTCCTGACCTTGGACTTCCTGCATCCTGAACTGAGAAAATAAATGCATGCATCTCCTAAACTCTAAGGGATCCCACGAGACTTGCAACCAGGGGAGCAATGGGCAGCGGCAGCTCATCCCAAGCTAACCTCCTGAACCTGTCCCCAAGGCCTCCTGTTCTCTGATTTTCCAGTAAGCTGACAGCATCCCCGCCTTGGCTCACTTCTTTCCCATGTTTCTGAGCCAGAGCAGCCTGGCATAGTCCCTGTCCTGTTGCTTCTTCTATCCTAGGCCCTTCCTTGTTTCACTGTCCCAGCTTTAATAAACATGCTCTCAAATAAAAATTAAAAATCATAAAAATAAATAATAAATAAATAAATAAATAATAAATAAATAAATAAATACATACATAAATACATAAATAAATAAATAAAAATAAAATAAAATAAAATACCGGCATTGTTGCAGGTTGCAGTGCGCTCTCAGCTGAGGTTTGGCAGCTAAAAGTCGTCTGAAAGGGCTAGGAATCTTAACTCAGGTCTGGGGTTGACTCCTGAAGTGGCCTCATGTTGTCTGCTTAGCCTTGAGCAAATCATACCGCTTTGCTGAGA